GTAGATAAATAATATTCAATAATGTGGATTTTGGCCATTTACCAGTGCACACATCTTTTTCTTTGAAGTTTTAAAATTAATAACTTCATCAAAAAGATTATTTTTATGCTGTGATCATAAAGAAGTTGGATACATGAGTTTTTTTAAAAGAATGTTTCTATTATTATTTTCCAGGATACAGTTTTTTAGGTATAGGGATTCCCCTCTGAACCTCACCTTCCTCCCTTCCCATTCTGCATCTCCCCGTCCCTTATTGCATTCTACTATTTAAGCATATTATGGCATTGTGGGTATAGGCAATGATAGGAAATCTGGTATCATACTGTCAAGATATATTTAACAATTTCATTGGAAATCCTCCTTTCATCTGGGAGAAGACGTGCATACCGCAACACCATCTTCACACTCTGGTATGTAAGACTCCATTACACAGTTCATTTATGAGAATATATGTATATAGATGTTTACCTGTATATCTGTATTTTGCATTATTTGTTCTTTTGGGATTGGCTTATTTCATCAGTTCAAGGAAACTTTTCCAGGACTGATCATATTATACATCAGAAAACAAGCATCAGCAAATTAAAAAAAAAAAAAAAAAGAAAGAAATCATACCATTCATACTCTATCTGGGCAGGAATATGGTTATTTAGATCATTCACTCCTCCATTTGACAAGCTGCTATGGTTTGGATTTGGTTTGTCCTGCAAAGATTCATTCACTTAAGAGTTGGTTCCCATGTAATGCAATTGAGAGGTAATGGAACCATTCAAGTGGGTGTATTAAAAGGACATAAAGTTACTCTGGGGTATCATGCTCAGACGGGATTAATCTTTGCCTCTCGGGGTAGGTTAGCATTTGGAAGAGTGGACTGGTTATTGAGAGAGTAAGTTGTCAAAGAACAGGTTCACTTTCTCCACTCACCCTCTTGCTTCCACTCTCTTTCACACATGCTCCACCAGGGGGCACTCACCAGAAGCCAATGTTGTGCCACACGTCAGGATTAAAGCACAAAAGCTCTTTCCTTTGTAACTCACTTAGCCTAAACCACTTTGTTACAGCAACACAAAACTGACTAACGAACAAGGCAAAAATTCCAGGGGCATAAAGGAGGTAGGTACATACAGACGAGTGAGTCAGGATGAGAACTCAGGTATTTTAGAGTCCTAATCTGCAATTCTCGCTATGAGACTAACTTGCCCTTTATACATTTATAACATGGGCATTAATTATTCTGTGTACATTTAATTATATTACATAATCCTGATTTAAAACTGTTGGCCAGCATGCCTTGAATTAAACAATTCACTAATAATTATTATTCTTGCCCTTCTAAAGAGTATCAGGACATCTTACCAGATAATTGTAGTAGCTTAAGTATCTTAAAAATTTATTCATGAAAAATTTGATCTGATAACATCTTTTTCCTTGAAAAAAAAAAAGAATTCTCTAGCTCTGAGAGTTATTTTAAGAAAAATTAAAATTCCACATATATTTGAGTGCAGAGTGAGAGCACTAAGTTGACAGAGAAAGTCTGTAAACTTAGAAAAAAAAATTTGTCTTATCTTCCAAGAATTGAGCCTGCGATCATTGATATGTTTTACCTTGAATACAAACACACCAATGTTGTTGGTTTTGACAGAACAAAACTTTGCAATATTTGTTTCTTTTGCCTTTCACTACAGATTTACTGGATTGCCTTTCTCTAGAAACAGCCATGAGTATCACTCTCACTGAAAATATAATTATGTAAAACTGTTTTGTCAAATCAGTAGTTCAGAATGTTATACTACCATAGTTTGAATGCCCTGTGATTGCTTTATTACTTATTGTGTGTGAGTGAAAGAGTCATTTTTTTGTTTGTAGCTATTATCTGTGTCCCCGCTAAACTAAGATATTTTGTTTTTTCCCTTTTACACTTCTTAGTTGGTGAAGCAGTAAGCCTTTTACTGTAGTAAAAATAAAAATATGCTATCTCAAAAGATTAAAAAGAAAGAAAAGGAGAAAAAAAGAAGATGGGGGGGAGGTGAGAATGAGCAAAGAGAATGTTATTGTATTCTTAGAACTATATGTGCAAAGTGTGGACTGGGATTGGATGCACCGAGCCAGGCCAGACTCCAACACCCTCTTGTGTACTGGAGGACCAGGGTAGATGTAGGATGGACTAGGTAAGGTCTCAATCCCTACTGAGCCATGTGTGAGCCGTATGTGGATATGGATGAGCCATGGCTGGGCTGAAACATCCAACAGCAAGGACCAGTTTGGGTTGAACGCCTGTCAGGAAAAGCCACTGTTCCTGCTAAGACAGAAAGTAAACTGAGTAGGGCTGGACCCATTGGTATGCACAAAATCTGGCATTGGGAGAGGTTCTGATGGAGGAGCCTGGGCAACTCCTCTGGCAGGACACAGTCCCTGCAGGTAAGCGCAAGAAACATGATAGGAAACAGCCCAGAATAGGCCAGGGAAAGTTACCCACTGGTATACATTTGGCATGGGTCGGGGGAAGACCAGGCTGAATCTGTCCACATCATCCACTGGCAAATCCAAGCACCAGAATAGTGTGGGTCGAGCCAGGTTCTGTCACAACAAAAACTAGTGCACAATATGGAATGCCAAGGAGAGGTTGCCTGTACCGGAAGTGACCGCAGTGCCCAACCAGCACCTGTGAGAACCAGGAATGGAGGGGACAGAGCCAGCAGGGGATTAAAGGGTGGTTCCTTTGCTGGACAGCTACTCCCACTGGAGAGCATGAACTGGGATGAGGACAGACCAGACTAAGCAGGGCTACAACGCCTGTACATCTCATGTGGACTAGATCAGGGAAAAGCCAGGCTGAGCTGATTACTCCTACTGGTGCAAACAAAATTAGAGTGGATGAGGGTTGTTTGGGCTTAGCCATAGCATCAGTTGGCAGAAGCTGGCACTGGGGGCTAGTTCTGTCAAGTCAAACCACAGAACTACCCAGAGAGTGCATAATCCAGGAGTGGGAGTGTTCTGGGAGGGAAATAGTGGGCTCCTCCCTATGGGTTACCACTTCCACGGGAGGGCACGAAAACCAGGACAGGGGCTGGGGTGGAATGGGGTGTGGGACAGACTGGACTATTGCTACACATACTGGCAAACCAGAGTAGGTGGCGGGGCTGGTGGAGGTTATTGTGGGTCGCTCCACAGTGGATTCTTCAAAGACCTCATAGTGCTTGGAGTGGCAAGATTGGCAGCGATTCATAACTGGTGAACTATCAAAACCACTTGAGCAAGAACCTCGGAGCATACCCTACATGCGGGACCTGGGGAGGGTGGGAAATTGGGTGGGCCTTCTCCCTTAAATCACCCCCCCTAAACAAGAAGGAAACAATATGGAAATAATAGTCTTACCCACTTTCCTATAACCCTTGAACCTTTTTACCCTAAGTAACTATGTAAAGATTGTCAAAAATAATAATAATAAAGAACTATATGTGCAAATCACATATAATCTGTTAAATATTAAATTTTAAAATTCAATATTAAAATTAAAGCAAAAGTTTTAAAAGTTGCCTTTTTCTATGCCAAACTCTTTCTTAAAATGTATTTGTAAATTCACTCAGGAACCTTGATATATTTTGAATATACAGATACACTCAAGTATCCATTCACACATAACCAAGAAATCGTTTCACTCGTGGGCTTGAAACGTTAGAAACAGCTCATTTCATTTTTATCTCTAGTTCTTAGTACAGTGCCAGAGAAGTTTCTGGAATAAACACTGCTTTGAATGAGCCATTTTTCCCTTCAATTCTTTTTTGTCCCCTATAACAGCTTGCCACATCTGTAAGGGATCTTTGAAAAATTAATAAAAATGCATATCATAAGCATGGATTTCAAAATTTTTGCAGTATATAAACTTAATATTTTCATTCTACTATTTATGAACTTTTAGAAATACCTTTGTATATAGTATTTAGTCAGCAAAAGTAAATAAATTTAACATTTGAAATAGACATATACATGTAGTGAGAAAAATATCTTAAGTAGCAAATACAATTTTGTTTTTATGAAATTTTACTATATAAAATAATAAAAGAAATAAAAAAATTTACCAGCCTACATACATGTTTGTAAATATGGAATCAATCAGTGTGACTGCATCAGTCATTAACAAAACAGATATCTAATGAATCATCTTGGAATTCAGTTTTGTGGTATTTATTACCTACTTGTATATTCAGTAAACCTATTTAATGCAAACTACTGTATTACAAACAACAAAATCTGCAATGAAACATCTCATTACCCAAGATCAAGTTATAATTTACTGTAATTATAATGAACTTGATTCATTGTAATCACAGTGTTAATTTTAAATATTAGTATCATTATTACAAAATTGGAATGAGGGGTTTTTTTGTGTGTGTCTTTTTGTTTTGTTTTTCTTTTAAAAAATCTTGGATTTCTGGGAAATACGTAGGTAGTTTCTTCCAGTGGCTCTGGCATCCCATGTGAGCACTTTCTTGAGTCCCAGCTGCAACACTTTGTATTTAGCTCTCTGATAATCTACCTGGGAAGGCAGTGAGAGCCAAATACAAGGGTCCCCACATCCACATGGCAGACTTGGGGGAAGCTGCCAACTCCTAGCTTCAGATACCAGCACCAACCATTGTGAACATCTGGGGAGGGAGCCACTTGATAAAGATCTCTTTCTGCCTCTCCCCTCCTCCCCTATATCTCTGTAACTCTGTATTTAAAATTTACAAATACACCTTTTCACTAAAACAAAAGCAAACACTTGGATTTCAAGTGAAAGTTGTAAAGTGTCAATGATGTGCTTTTCACAGTTAAATAGTCCACAAGTGTGTTTATCAACTACGAAAACAGAATGTTACTGAGGATAAACAGACATATTTTCTTCAGAATAAAGACTGCAAGATTTAGTCTGAAAATGAAAGTAAATTCAATAACTGATGAGGGACTCCAACACTTTCCAATAAATGACTGTAGTTTATACTTTGTTTTGAGTAGAGATTTAATGCTCCTTCGAGAGACTAGCCTGACCTCTTCCAGATTATACTTCCAGAAATCTTACAGCATCACTTAAACTCAGTACAATACCTTGATAAATCATTTCACTAAGAATATATTATCTTTCCTCCTTTCCTACAAACTAATATATTCCTTTCCTAAAGAAAATGATGAAAAACATAATATTTAAAATCAGGAAAGAATACAGTAATAATTTTCCAGCCTTTTGTGTGCCAAATCATGTGTGTTAGCACAGATTTTGGCTCCAGGTAAAGATCAACAGAGCCAAGTCTCATGTACACAGTATATGGAACATAAAACTCATGAAAGATTCACAATTGCTCTACTCTTGGAAGATGGAACGCATTATCTGAGATTTGTGATGAACTGAATCTATGCCCAACAAATCAGAAAAATGGCTTTCTTAATAAAGAAATGTAATAATCAAAGTTTGGTAAATAGCAGAACTGAAATCACTAGTTAATGCACAGATCACAGAATATGCCTTACTTAAAGTTCATTTGTAGTTTAATGCCTGCCTGCTATATAGAAGCTTCCCAAGAGTACAGATATAATTAAACATGCTCGAATCGAAAGGGGAGCTATCTATATAAATCACTGAATTATATAACCAACAGTCAAATACCCCAACAATTATGAGAAATACAGAAGTTGAGACAGAGTTTAGGGATAGTAAAGAACAATTTGGTTTGAAAATAACATATGCTTTAAAAGCAGATTTTGCATCAATATAAAATCAAATACTGGGCTGCTAGGAAACCCAAATTCTCCAACATATACATGTTGGAAATTTGTAGCCTTATATAAATGCAATCAGAGTAAACTCGTCTACTCAAGCAAAAGGATGAAGACTTACTGCATACTTGTGTGATCTGACTGGGTGTAGCATAAACAGTACTAGCTCACACTTCTTAGTGGCTTAGTGTAAAAACAAAAACGCAGTTGTTTTATACTTCACTGTTTATGTTTACATCTTGCCTTTTTCTTCTACATAAAGTTCTTTGTCCAGCAGTCTCTAACTGATTGAATTTTACGAAACTCAAAGCCTGACATATTTGGCTTCTGATCAGCCTCTGGCATCCAGCCTTTCTTTTCAGAGTATTAGCACTCTGCTGCTGCTTTGTGATCTTAAGATTGAAACCATCTTAGGAGTTAGCAGAAAACTAAAGAAATCATAGACTGAATAAAATCTATGTTTGCTAGCTATTTTCTTACTCATTTCCATGTATTTTTAATACATAATATTTCTTACAAAGTAGTCCATTATTTAATTTTTTCAATAATCTTCAGAATCTACAGATAAGGATGAAATGAAGTAATCACACAAATCTTAAAATCAAATATATTAGATTGTCAGAGCTAGTGCCTATAAGTAAAATACTATTGAATAAATCATGCTATTTGATCTTAATTTCAAAAATATTAGGAATTTTTGTTATAAGGTAAGTAGATAAAACACAAGACAACAAGGCAAATACAAATGTCAAGATAACTTTTAGGAATAGTAAAAAGAAACTATATCACTAATGGGAAATATCTACAAAATTAGCATATATTACCTGTCATCATCCTGTGAGAATCTCCTTTGCAAGTCCTCTTTATTCCATTGTTCTTTTTCTTTCCCTTGCTCAGGTGTTTTTTCCTCATCTCCTGATTCTCTGTTTTCCTCCTTATTACATGTTTCTGTAATTTCTTTCCCTTTCTCTTTCTCATTACTTTTTTCTTCCTTTACTTCTTCCTTCTCATGAACTACCTCTTCATGCTTATCCCTTTCAGTCCCTCCCTCTTCTAATCCCTTTGGCCTTTTGAAAGCAACAGAAACCGAAGGCATGCAATAAAAACACAGAAAAGAAATGAAAATCAAGAAATATGCACATAAAATTAAACAGAAAGGCAATGAAAATTATCTACCATAAGCAAAAAAGATGCATTTACTTGTAACTTTTTTCAGTGTGTACCTGAGAAGCATTGTGTATGCAATACGTAATAGTTTTCAAGTCATATTTTCCTTTTAAATTTTTACACAGAAATAGGCAAAAGCTATAATGTCTCCATGATTGAATTTCTTTATCCAATAGGAGTAAAACCATGTTTTTTGACATTAAATGTCCATAAAATCTATAGGTCAGATAAGAAATAAAAAACATTCTAATTCATATATTGTATTTAGAAGATGAGGAAATTTCTCAGATATTTATAAACATTTTAAGAAAGCATGTTGCTAAGACTTAGTTAGGTTTCCTGGACCACTGAAATGTAGAAAACTAGGAAAACTCCTCTAAATCTTATTTTGACTATCAAAAACTTCAAGCAATCACTTAACTGCCACTTTAATTTCAGTAAAAACATAATAACGACAGTATTAATTCTTAAACTGCAAATATGTAAAGACACAAATATTATTTCAAGAAACCTAGTACACAAAATTGTCATCATTTCACCAACATTTTTTTATTAAGTCTTAAGTATGGGCCAAATTAATAGTCACGGGGGAAAAAGTATCTGTGTAAAAGTTCTCACGGTCTTAATGTTAACTAGCAACTTTTTAGAAGGCAAAGATTTCATGTTTACCCAAAAAATAGAAAAGGCCCTCTAGAATATACTTAGAAATGTTAATTGCTGAAGACCCCGTACTTACCTGATCTTCTTGTTTCCTCTCGGTCGTTCCGATTGGACAGACATGTAGCTTGTGCTGCTGAAATGAGAAGCACTACTAGTCCTTGAAACCGCAGATATATCACTTACATCACTGTCCGAAGATTTAGTGGAAATGTTATCTGCCCCTCTATGAGGATCCCATCCTGATCGATACTGTTAACACAGATGGACAAATACGCAGAAGTCGTCAGTATTACCACACAGAACAATTATTAGCTTTCTCCTATTTCAGCACTTTAATTGTCCACAGGGCATACAGCAAAAATCCCCACTCAGTGGCACATAAAACGAAAGTGAATGGCAATTATCCTAAAAGAAAAATTCAATTTATATGAAGCTATTGTTTTCAGCAAAGTAATTAGAACTTTTCCACCACACCCCAGTGAAGGCCATTTAGATAGCTTCAAAACAGAACTGGCCTCATGAAAGAACGTTTAGGTAAATTCTGGGAAATAAATATTTGGCGTAATATGAGAAAGTAGAACTTTTTCATTATGATTCTCTTTTTTAAAGGTATGATGAAGTTGCCACTGTAATTAATAAAAACCAAGCCAGAGACATCAGTTTCTTTAATCCACTGTGCTTCACTGAAAACCTAGAGATGATACAAAATCTAATTATTAATACACTAACTCTTTTTTAAAAACCCAAGAGGAAAAAAAGTTTTGTTTCTCAATGGTTACTGCAATTTTTGTGGATCCTAGAATACTAGAAAAAGCTGTTATGGTTTACCATAGCTCAGACTTCCTGGAATCGAAATAATCAGATAGTTAATTGGCACAACGAAGGGCAAGGTATTCTTGGGTGTTCAAATATTCTGGCAAATTGAAAAACATTATAAACATTTTAAGTTAATGACCTATCCTCATAAAATACATTCAACATAAAAACTAAAAACCGAAACTTAATTTAAAAAAATTTTTTACTACAAATATCATCACTAGGAGTCCTAGGGTTAGCATGTAAAAAAGGATAGACTTTGGTGTCTGGAAAACCTGAAGTAAGGAAAATTCTTGCTAAAAGTACAGATTTGAAAAAATATTTAAAAGTTTTATTATAAAATAATACAGTTAGCAATATATTCCTGCTACTTTGAATATTAAAATTAATACTTGGGTGATGTCTAGCGTACATTAATAAATGTAGGTAGTGTTATTATTCCATCATTACTACCTGCTGGTTTAATAGCATCTTTCTCTGTGCAAACACAACATTAGTAATTTGTACATTGCCAGGATAATGGAATATCCACTATTTAATTTTTATATACGGACTTCAAATATACTGTTGAAGCATCCATATCTAGTCAACTTTTTAATGAGAACTTTCTAACCATTGATAATGATAAGTCTCATGAAGACGATTATCTTATATTAACCACTTATTATGACTTGAATTGTTGCATAATAAACATTCTTCCATGAACAACAATTCAACACCAGTAGTGGATGCAAATATTTTAGCCAAGATCAATTAAGTGGCAACAGAGTAAAAATGCCATATCAAACTGAAATGGATCGTTGTTTCCAAGCTCTCCTTGTATCCATGTTTGTAACTAACCCCTGGCTTTTCTTAAAAAGCAAACCAAAGATTTCTAATGTTCCATAAAATTTTAACAATCCGATTCATTTATATATGTACGTAGATAAGATATATTCACCTTTGACAAGAGCTGATCTTTCTGAGCTCACTTTACCTTTCTATCTTTGTTAGACAAATTCTTAATTCTGAGAAAGAATCAAATTACAAAGAACAATGCTGCTTTTTTTTCAGCAAATATTTGTGTAAACAGGATTGTGGTGCTCATTTTAAAAGAACCATTCTTTTCATGGATTTGTTTGAATAAAATTTAGCTCCAAATACTTATTTTAAAACACTTTCAAAAGTAATTGAAACAACGTCTTAACTCACTGTCTACAACTATTTTACAGTGCATACACCTAACATGCACACAAAAACATACATATAGTAAATTATATGTTGCTGAATTTGATCTTAAGTTGACACATATATTAAAATTTCAGTTTACTTATGCACATTTTTGATATTTCATTTACATGAAAAATGATAGTTTTCAGAAATGTTTCTGTGCTTTATAATTATTTAGTAGACATAGCCCTGCATTGAGGGAATTTATCTTTTTTATTTTTATAAGTTATAATAACAAAGAGAATCAAGTCTGCTATTTCCTTCAAAATAATTGAATAGAAAAGAAGTTTGAGTATTGCATCACTTATTTACTGTTGCTCCTGGGTATATGTAAACTCCAAATTCAAATGAAACTAAGTTTCAATCCTAGTAGAGCACATGACAGTGCTGCTGTTGGAGTACTGAATCATTGAATCCTAGCCATGTCAAATGAGCTTATGCCAACTGCTTATCTAAATCTCAGTTTTCCACATTTTAAAATATGGCTAAAAATGACAGTCATCTTTTAAATTAACTGTAAGAACTAAAACAATGCGTGTAAAGCTCTTTGTACAAGATCTAAACAAGACATAATAGGTTACAAATGGTGACAGTGATGATGATGATGATGATGATGATTAGATAGTAACTGAATTCTGACTCAAATCAATTTCAGGAATATATTTAGCGAAAAAAAATATTAGATGTAAATATCCAACAATAGCTGTATGTTAAAATGTTCTATGTATAAACAAAGCATAGCAACTTCTATATATATGTAAGAGATTTCTTTCAGAAAATACATAAAACAAAATTGAAATACTGAAGCCAAATGCCTCTTGACATTTTTTCTGACCTCATCATTCCCATTGAACTAGATGAGCCATATGTTGTCACTTTATACGGACATACTGATTCCCCAGTGCAGGCTGAAGATGATCTTTAGCTCAACAGGAAATATATATGACATTTATTGACTAGCACAGAATACACTTCAACTTTAATATTAGTCTTGGATACCTTTTCTTGGTATCCAGAGCAACCTGGTATTATGAATTTCTGCTTCCCTAATGGATTATTGTTCAATTGCTTTGCCTTCATTCCTGCTCTGCTTCTTTATCTTGAATTTCTGTGGTTCAGATGCTGACTCCTTAGGCCAGCCTTTGTCTATGTCTGTCATAACTTTTTGTACCATTGGTATGGAGAATAGCTACATACAATTTTGAGTGTATTTCAACTATCTTCACATACACACTATATTTCTTCCCTCAAAAATCTAATAAAGGGGGGCCCGGCAGCGTGGCCTAGTGGCTAAAGTCCTCGCCTTGAGCACGCCTGGGATCCCATATGGGCGCCAGTTCTAATCCCAGCAGCTCCACTTCCTATCCAGCTCCCTGCTTGTGGCCTAGGAAAGCAGTCGAGGACGGCCCAAACCATTGGGACCCTACACCCGTGTAGGATATCCGGAAGAGGTTCCTGGATGCTGGCTTTGGATCGGCATAGCATCGGCCATTGCACTCACTAGGGCAGTGAATCATTGGATGGAAGATCTTCCTCTCTGTCTCTTTCCCTCTCTGTATATCTGACTTTCCAATAAATAAATAAAATCTTTTTTAAAAAATCTAATAAAGGACCTAAAACTAGAGTTTCCATCTAATATAACTTAAATGCAATTTTCCTTTCCCTAACACCTGATAAACATAAGTTACATACTTCAGTATTGAGATAGAAGAGGCTGAGTTATCATGCCAGCACATAGAAATGCATGGGTAGAGGTAGATTCAGATACTTAGAAACTAGTTTAAATTGTCTAGATGTCATAGTAAACAATGTTTTAAGTAATTAGCATGTCCTAACAAACAGCTGACAGATTAACTTACTGCTTCCTTAGTGGAACAGAAACAAAAGAGATTCACTATTTTGAATTATATGATCTCAGCTGAGAACAGCTCTAACTGGAGAGCATTACAACTTTGGAGCAGAGGGAGGATATTTCCTGGCAATATTTTTAATGTTTTGTACATTACTGTTAAGCAGATTATGAATCGGAAAAAAAGTTACAGGAAATTATCATTCTTCAAGATGTTCTAGAGTCCAGGGGGTTTCTAAGTGCCTGGGAAAGTTAATGTTCTTCCAATGTGGTTAAAATTGGCTAATTTGAAAAGCCCAATTAAAAAGAAGCCCATCGTTATTATTTTATAATGAAATATGTGAGAAAAGAGATAAATTCCAACTTCTGCAATAAAAGCTTGACTTTCTCTAGTATCCTTCCCTAAAGCTCTTAGGTCAGATAATTTCCCAGTTTGATTTCTCCACTGCATCTTAGTATCTATGGTTGTCCAATCTTTGTGTATGAACTTCTCAGGCCAAAAAGAAAAAAAAAATGAGAATAACTTTGAGAATTTTCTTATATTGTTGTAATCAATTTAATCGGTGGAACCAAAAATTTCTTATCCCAGGACAAGAATGTGATTGTTGAAAAATGCTGGGAAAACTTTTTAAATTCAAATTTTGTAGAAAAATAAGTTTTTTTTTTTTTTGCAATCTAGAAATAAAACAGGATAAACTGTCTTCTGAAAAACTAAGGATAGGTTGAAATCTGGGAGAGGGCTCCCCATATCAGGAGGGGCACGATAGAAGAGAATAGAGAGATAGGAGTCCTGCTCTGCAGACAAGGAAAAAACAAGGTGAGAAAGAAGCCATCTGATTTTTATTTCATTTCATAATCCAAAGAGAGTAGCTGCTACCCTCTGATACTACTCTATTAGCTGGTATTTTCTCTTTGATAAGTGAATTCTGGATGATTTTATTTTCTCTGTGGCAGTCATGATTCGAGCACTGCACTGTTGGAAAACATACTTGGCAGACTCAATTTGAGATAAGACTCCTAAAGTTGGCAATGTTCACTAAGGATCTCTGTTTGGGAGAGAGAAGGCAGGGGAAAGAAAGGCACAGACGTTTGAAGGTATAAAGGTTGTACAGCCTGGTGAACTATACTCCGGAGATGAAAGCCCAGCTTGAAAGCTGTCTGGTAGTGTAAGGGAGCAAGGAGAAGATTCCAAAGGAAAACAAGGCTGAGGAATACCATGCCTCAATCTGGAAAGGAATCAGGGGTCTAAATTTTCCCTGGAACTTGAGACAAACTTTCTCATCATGGCTTGTATGATGGATGCCATCCTTAGTCAGGTAGAGGAATAAAATAAGCTACAATTATATGTGTACCTGTGGAAAGCACTGCTCTAAGT